CACTTCACAGTGAGTGACCAGTCCGGCCAACAGCAGCAGGGAATGTCTCAGATGTCGTGGAGAACTTTGTGGCGTTACCCTAATAATGTTTAAGTCTCATAACCACTCCTCCCAGCTGCTCACATGTGGACGTGATGTCACAGTGACGTTAGATCCTGTACCTCCAGCAGCATGGCGTCCTGCTCCGTCCTCAGCTGGTCTCGGACCTGGAGGCGACCCACCAGCTCTGAGCTCAGATCTAACACGGATGAAAAGTTAACCATTAAAATTCACTCTTCAATGCATCAGAGAAAACGGCGCTTTTATTTTTAAACGCTGGGGCTAAGGTTATATAGTACCTTGTATAGCCTGGCTGAGAGACGCACAGAGAGCATTCAGCTCCTTGATAGTGAAGCCCTGCAGATCGCTGTGCTCCAAATGTCTCCTCTGGTTTACAGGATCACTCCGCGCTGTGGTCTGAGGAGAGTTTACACATCTTTTAATGAAACAAATCATGATTAACAGCCAAACAAAGAAACACAAAAATATTACTGCACATATTCACGACCTCGTCCCCCCACAGACAGACAACATTTCAAAATCTGACAACAAGCAAATCGGTGTCGACTTCCCTGAACAGAGATGAAATGCCACACATCTGCCACAGTGTTATAACAGGTACAAGCAGACACGCGACCCTTGAACATAAGTTTAACATCTGTATTTAATTATACGACGGTGCCAAATCACAATAACAGTTGCCTTAATGCACTTTACATTGTAAGGCGAAGACCCTAAATCAGCACAGAGAAAACAGAAGTCCTCCTGTGAGCAAGCGCTTTGGTGACAGTGGGAGGGAAACACCTCCGTCACACCCAGGCTCAGGGAGGGCGCCATCTGCTGGGAGGAGGAAGAAGACGGGGCCGTTCCTTTCATTTTGTTCCCAACAAATGGGAAAATTGACCGGGCAAATCCGATTGAAGTGCTGCACTGTACTTGGGGCCATAAAATGAAAAGTGTCATCCAAAAACCCACAAATGATGGAAGGTTTCCTTAGCAAAACACAGAGTGACCCTCTACTCTTTAGTCCATATGTGCCACATGTCTGTATGTGGCCATGGGCCCACCCTCCGCTGGAGCCTCCACTGAAGATCCACACTGCATTTCTCTGGGGGATGTTTGCACAAGAACCTGGTGCAAGAGCACCACACCACCTCACCTCTCGAAAAACACAGAGTCTCTTGGTTTTGTTGAGAACTTTCATGCTTACAGGATGTAAGGATTTGTTATCGCTGATGTTTTAAAAGACAGAATTATTTCTTCCTCCTCCTCCTGTGCAAAATCAGCACAAACTACTGGCTGAGACCCTCCAGGACCTACAGCTGATGCTCACTAACAGAAGCCAGGAAGAGCAGCCCCCACATGCTCCACCAGAATGACACCCATCGACCTGAGGATGGCAGCAGATTTCTACTGCCCTCCCAGTCACAACCCTGTCAGCTTTGGCAGCCCAGACGTTGCTAATACTGCTCAAGCTAGTAGAACCAAGCAGTTTTAGTCCATAACTGTGGATTGTGTATGTGGAGCTCAACATCATCAGAAGAAAACTTAGCATTGATACAGTCATCAATAAAGCTCCTGCTCCTGATACAGACTTGGGGAAAAGACGCTGAGCAGCAACATACATTCAAAGAGACCAACTTATGGTCAATGAAAACAACTTCGATTGTGTCCAGATGGTGAAGTGACGGCCAATTTAATAGCAGAAGTTATGAAGTTAAGATCCGAGGTGCACAGAGAAATGAGCAGTCTGTGGGACTGTGAGACTGACGCTGCCGTGTCTCAGAGATGAACATAATATCAGGCTTCTCTGCACAGAACAATCATGTAAGATATAAGACTTGTTGGCAGTTTGGTGAGGCCCACGGGGACAGGTGCAGAGGGGCCTGGAGTCCCGACTTTGGGCTACGTTGCACAGCAAATCCTACCATGATGAGCCGTGGCTTTCCACGCTTTCACATGACTGCCCAAGGTGGCAAACACAAGTGGGCATGGAGATCAATCCAGCCCCACAAGTCTCAGGCGAATCTGACCGGCGACACACCAGGAGTGAAGCTCCCAAAGATCCTCTTCCTCTCTCCAAGGCTGACGAAGCAGCGCAAGAAAACCGGCGCTCTTCCCGCACTTCCACCGATGAGGCCTCCGAATCAAAAACGAGATGACCGGCAAGAGGGGAAGTAGCACCCGGAAGTATATCGGGAGCTGCGCTCCAGCGCCGGTGGAGAAACAACCTCAATACGTTGACTGAAAATTATCCATAGCAGATTTAATCACCAATAATGCACGGCGGTCAAACACCCTAAGAGAGATGATGCTGGACAAAACTGTAGCAAAAACACTTGCACAACACGGAAACACACAAACACAGGTGAGAGATAAAAGCGTCCCAACCACAAACTTCATGCACTCACTCCTTAAAGCAGCTGTTGCTGTAATCTGGCATCATATCAATGTTTACACTCCCAGCATGCAGTGCAGGGAGCAGAGGACAGATTCCTATAACTGGAACTCAGTTACATGATAACATAGTTTGTTCCACCTTTGAATATTTGTCTCACCAAAGACTTGTGGTCCGTCCTTAGTCGGTCTCGCAGGTTCTTCAGAGTGTTCCTGAAGCCTCTCGACTTTTGTTTCTCTGGTTTGCTTGAAGGCTGAGGATCCTTGTGAATCTGAACACTTCCTCTCTTCAGCAGAAAACAGACGGCAAATCTGAGCACACTTATGAAATGAGGCCATGTGACAGCGCTGCTACTTCAGCTCTGCGTCACATTCTGCAACTACATATTAACTGTAAGTAATTTGGAACAATCTGCTGTGTTGTACATGAAGTGGTTACCCATGAGCTGCTTTCTTTCTTTCTAACATCCCCTTTCTTCTCCTCTTCCTCCTCCTCTTCACTTTCACTGTTGTTGATGAAGCAGAGCTGGAGATTCATCCGTGTCTGCAGGCTGAGGGTTAGACACCAGTCAGTGGACCACCATGAACACATATCCAATCTGACATCACAGCTGGTTGCTTAGCATCTAGCTAGCAGCACAAAAGAGGAGCGAACATAAAAGGAGTAATAATTTTTTTAAAGTGTGGGGTGATTCCAAATGCAACATTTCTATCAGCTCAACAAAAGTCATCAACACACAACCTGTGTGTGCAGTTTGTGTGTTGATGAGCTGAGACAGAAAAGAAAAAGCCGACTTCACTCAGAGATGAGAAAGATAAAGACGGGACAGGAACAGCTGACTGCTCAGTGGGATTTGATACACTGCACATTTAACGCTTGTTCTCATGTTTTCAAATAATAATTTCATTGTACATGTACAGTGACAATAGAAGCTATTCTATTCCGTTTTATTCTAAACCACATGTTGTGTTTGTGACGTTATTTGTTTCATGCTGCAAATCAAACTGAGGCAGACTAACTGTGGCCATCGAGTATAAAGGCAGCATGAACAGTGCGCTGTCAGTGTGGAGGAGAAGAGCAACTCATGAAACATCTGCTCACATCTGGCTGAATTCACATGCATAAATCTGCAAAGAGCAGCAGGTCAGCTGATCAGAACCTGTACATTAAGAAAATCTGTTGGAGCTCACGTTAGAAATTACTGTGAGCGGTGCTTCGTTTCCCCACATGAGCCATCAAAGCTCATTTTAGAGAGTTCCCCACTTTAACCTGTCCTGTACTCACTTTCCTGTTTAGAGGTAAAGTCTCCCTCTCCAACGTGACCAAACGAAAACAGAGCTTAACTTTTGTTGTTAATAAATTCCTT